AGGTCAGAATAAATGGATCATTTCAGTATGTCTGTCTGCTGAGTCACTGTGAAGCATCACTTCACTGACTGGGTAATGTTCACTTAGTTTTCAGACCAATCACCTTATTTTATGCAATACTGGCGCTCTAGATTACTCTGAGCTCCTGACTGTAAGCCTCTTAGGAACGTTTGCTGCATTTCATGTGCACTATACTGCCAACTATGTGAAGTTCTCCCCCACAGCTGTTACATATTTTATAACTGTCTTAGCATGCACATGCGTGATCTCTATGACGCCTCCATTCTTCTACAAACTTACTGCTATCTATGGAAACAGGAGGATATCCCAGCATGCACTGGGCAGCCTATAGAACTGAAAAGAGTCTGTGTTGAGTTTAAAACTCTCACAGAAGTCAAATACAGATCAGGGAATATTAAAAATCACATCTCATGACCCACAACTTACAATGTACAGTCAGTGAAGCCCTTTGCCCTGCATTAACTCAGTTAGTTATTGGAAGTGAATGTTTTTGTGTAAAGACCTGACATTGACAGAGGATTTAACCGCCTGTAGAAACAACATCACTCACAATCCTCAAGCTCCTGCTGCAGCTTGCCTTAAAGTCACATGGCTAAAAAATATGACCTACACTTTATCACCTGAAAAAATACTAATTGAAAAGGTGCTATCATTTTTTCTTTTTTGTATTAAACCATATTCATTTAGGGACATTAATTCTCCTTGAAATTGAACCAAATTCAAGGGAGTGAATCCTCTATGTAACTATAACAAAAAGCTACTGTTGGATCTGTGAGGTGATTACTTATACAGAGCTGCCGTGCTTTACTACGTCATAGGAGTATGCTGTGAAAGTATTTTTTCTACTTTTACATAAAAACCCTGAAAGGCTTTGAAGCAGTGTAGTGTTTGGACCTTTGAGTCAAGCATTAATAAGGTCTACAGCCAACAGCCAAAGCTTTGCACAACTTTGACCCACATAAACACTCTGAACTCAAAAAAGCATTTTAACTGTAACACAATCCTTCGCCCTGAGTTAGAGAAGAGTGTCGCTGCCCCGCGAATGTGTCCAAAACTCATTGTTTCTGTTCGTTTGGAGCAGCTTCGCATGGAAGGAGAGATCTCCGTCTGAGGCAAAGCTTGATGTTTGAATCCCATTCAAGGCCTTGAGGTCCTGATTTTGGAGGTGAAGAAAAGAGAGCTGCTGGCCTCAGGTTCTCCATGACCCAGATCTGTCTCTAAGCTGCCTGGACAGTGTCGGAGGAGAGGAAAGCGACTGGAGAGGAGACAGACAGCTGGCATGAGATTCTGACTGAGGTGGAGAGAAACTGAAGAGAAACAACTTTATCCTGTTTGATTCTTCTGTCTTTGACTAACATTTTCAAGGAGTATCTACCCACTAGAAATTATAAAAAGTGATCATCTATTTTTGATTTATTACTTCTTTAAAAGCAGTTGATCCAGTTCTGGTTTCTACAGCTGAAACTTTATTGCTTTTCCTCAAACTGGCAACCATAAAAGAGGAAAGCTGTTTCCTGTCCTGAAACTGATCAGAGCGTCAGCGTCCAATGCACTCTGTGCAAATAAAACAGAGCACTTTTCCACCTGGAGTACCTGAGATATTTAGACACATCAAATCCAGTTTAGAGCAAGTCACAGGACTGGGATCATGTCTTTAGAGTGCCTCATCTTTATATTCATAGGACCACTTGTATACTAATGAGGACAGCTGCAACAACAGAACATGCCTCATTTTCCAAAACTGCTAAAATCAGAGCCACTTTTTAAAATTAGGGATGAGGTGTTTAATTTTCTTCAAGTATAACAAAGGCTGGGGTTCCACGGGGTCTTGTTGTCGGCCCACTTCGTTTCAACCTGAAGTTATTTATTGATTTAATCAGTTTACTTATCAGAGAGGTGGGTGCACATTCATAAATATAGGTATGTAAATATGCAAGATTGTGGCCTCAGGTTAATTTCTGTCTGTATACCCCAGCAGATTGGAGGTTCACAAACAAACGTAAATAAAGCACATACAGTAAATTGACAACAACAATATCCTCTTGAATAACAAATAAATCACAGCAGATCAAATCCAACTGCTGCCATAGAGTTTTTAAGTGTATTCTCGTATTCTGTTTTTCAAAAGATGCGCCTGAACCGAGAGGTTGCTGCAAGTCTGGTCCCTCTGTATTATCTGTAATGTTTTTAATTTATGCTAGATTTATTTCATATTTTTGTTGTAATTTTGTTGGCTGCTGATGGATACTTCTGCTGGGCGAAGAGTTTACTCAAAAGAAGAGCTCCTTTCATTGAGGAAAAGCAAATCTGGACAACAACATACAATTCCAGAGGACATTAGGAGGTGTTATTGTGGTTGCCGTGCTGGTGCAAAGGTGAAGGCAAAGCTGAATGCTAGGAGGTGGTGATATGAACCCCTTTCTTCCATCAATCTTCATGGGAAACGTCAACTCTCTGCCCAACAAAAGTGATGAGCTGGAGATATGGTGAAGACTGAGAAAGCATACCGTGAGAGCAGCTTCCTGTGTTTTACTGAAACCTGGTTGAATCAAAACAACTCGGACTCCAGTGTGGATCTACCTGGCTTCACTCTCATAAGGTCAGACAGAGATGCTCAAGCTAGTGGCAAGAAGAAAGGAGGAGGTCTGGCTTTATTTGTCAGCCAGAGATGGTGTAACCCTTCACACATAACTGTCAAGGAGAAGTTGTGTTGTCAAGATATTGAACTGTTGGCAGTTGCTCTTCGGCCATATTATGTTCCAAGAGAATTCAGTCATATCATAACAGTAATTGTTTACATTCCACCCAAATCAACTGAAGAATGTTGCAGTGTTTTGCAAAATAGTGTTGCCAGGCTACAGACTAAACACCCTGAGGCACTAATAATAATATCAACCATGTCACCCTCTCCTCTCACCTGACTGGATTCACACAGTTTGTGAACTGTCCTACCAGAGAAAACAAGACCCTGGATCTGCTGTATGCCAACGTCAAAGAAGCCTACAGAGCCACTGCCTTACCACCACTGGGCAAGTAAGATCATAACTTGGTCCATCTGCAAACCTGTTACAGACCTTGTGTTCTGAGGCAGCCTGTGACCAAAGTCAAAATCAGAAGATGGACACCTCAAGCCAGTGAAGCTCTAAGGGACTGTTTTAAACCAACAGACTGGAATGTGCTGCTGGAAATAGATGTGGATAGTATGAACATTGATAAACAGGTTGACTACTTTACTGATTATGTCAACTTCTGTAGAGACACAGTTATACCCAAAAAGACTGTTCGCTGTTTCCCCAACAACAAACCCTGGATCACAAGAGACATAAAAGCAACCCTTAACCAGAAAAAGAAAGCTTTGAAAGATGGTGACAAAGAACAACTCATACGAGTGCAACAAGAGTTGAAGAGGAGACTGAAGATAGCAAAGCTGGATTACAAAAATAAGATAGAGAAGAATCTACAACACAGCAACATCCGTGAAGTGTGGAGAGGAATCAGCACCATCTCTGGACACAGCAGTCAAAAGAAAAGACAGACAGTGGTGGGTGATGTGGAAAGAGCTGTTGAACTCAACCTGTTCTTCTACAGATTTCACACTGCTATCACTCCCACTTTCACTGCTACTCCACCTTCCTCTCAGCAACAAATCTCCACTACAACTTCTCCCCTTCCTCCTCCATCACATTCAAATGTCTCAACCACTTCAACTGCCTCCCTCCTAGAACACCAGTCCTTGTCTGTCACCGAAACAGGGGTGAGGATGGAGCTTGGAAGACTTTGTCCTAGGAAGGCAGCTGGTCCAGATGGTGTGTGTCCAAGGCTGCTTACAGACTGTGCTGCTGAACTGAGTCAGCCTCTCTACAAGATCTTTAACCTGAGTCTACAGCCGGGGTGGGTACCTACTCTGTGGAAAACACCCTGAATTGTGCCAGTACCAAAAACAAGATGTCCTGCTGAACTCAATGATTACAGACCAGTGGCCCTCACTTCACACATCATGAAAACCCTGGAGCGGCTGACGCCTTCTGAGGTCTGGGGTCAAAGACAAACTGGACTCCCAGCAGTTTGCATACAAAGAACACATTGGAGTGGATGATGCTGTCCTCTACATGCTTCACCGTGCCCTGTCTCATCTGGAGGAACCTGGGGTCAGTGCTGGCGCCATTCCTGTTCACACTGTATACGTCAGACTTCAAATACAGTACTGAGTCCTGCCACATCCAGAAATACTCAGATGACACCACTATTGTGGCATATATCGCAAATGGACAAGAAGCTGAATACAGAGATCTAATAAGAGCCTCTTACCTTTTTTGCTCTTATTTATTGGGATACTTGACAACAAGACACATCACGATACAATACGATACGATATGATATGATACTATACGATACAATACTATACTATATGATACTATACGATACAATACAATATGATGTAATGCGATACAGTACAAAACGTTACGATACCATGCGATACAATACAGTACAATACGATATGACACGATGTGATATGATACAATATGGTGCAAAATGATAAGATAGATAGATATACTTTATGATCCCAAACTGGGAAATTCTCATCAGGATTTCCACTCCCCGTCGGGGAATCGAACCCCGGTCTCCTGCTACCAGGCGGGGATACTCACCACTACACTAACAAGGAGATTATGATATGATATGATATGATACAATACAGAACAATATGATACGATATGATACTATGTGATACGATATGACATATGATATGATGAGTAATGATGATGAGTATGATGAGTTACTATATACTGAGTAAAACTCAGTATATAGTAAATCTACTACCCATCATCAAAGGTCTATTTGAGCCACCCTTAGTCTGATCCCTCTCCCAGGACCTGTTTGCCTTGGGTGACCCTACTAGAGGCATAAAGCACCCGACAACTTAGCTCCGGGGATAACTGGGACACGCAAACCCCTCCACCATGGTAAGGTGGTGGCTCGAGGAGGGGAACATTATTTTTTTATTATATAATCTTTATTTTTTATTTTTTTATTTTTTTCTTTAAATATAAATATATTTATATTTACATTAATTTATTATTATTATTTTTTCAATGTATATTCTTTATACATTAAAAAATATTTATATTTGCTTTTTTTTGCAGCTTTTAAAAAAAATATATATTTTTTTAATTGGAAATTGAAGGAGGGTTAGGGTTGGGATCATTAGAAAGGTGAAAGGTTGGTAACAGAATGGGAAAAGGGGTTTGGGGGGTTGAAGGAAAGGAATGAGGGATAGGTGAGGGGGTTGAGGAAATATCAGGGGGTGAGGAAATGTCAGAGGGTAGGGTGACAGTGTCAAGGTAGGGAATGAAGAGGGAGGAAGAGGAGCTAATGTTCCTCGACATCAGCCGAGCAACCAGCAACCTCCTTCACCCGGGTGTCTCTCTTTTTCGTCATTCTTAGGGTCCAGAGACCTTTTTTGACTCTCTTTCTCCCCCTATCTTGGTTTTTGCTTTTCTCCTCTTCATGTTCTCTTTCCTCTTCTTGTTCTCTTTCCTCTTCTTCTTGTTCTCTTTGCTCTTCTTCTTGTTCTCCTTCCTCCTCTTTTTCTCTTTCTCTCAGCTGCCTTAATTCCTTCTTCTTCTTCTCTTTAAGTTGTTTCCGGAGGGTTTTCTCCTCCGCTGTCTCCTTTTTAAAGACTGTGGACAGGAAGCCTCTTTTCTTTAGAGAGACGAGAAGAGTCAGCTCCCTCTTCTCCTTCTCTAACTCTTGAATTCTGTCTGTCAGAGTCTCTTCCTCCTCCAGGTCTTTCCTTTTTTTCTTCTGGAGGGTCTCGTTGTTTTGCAGCTGAGTTGTGGTCTCAATGAGTCTTTGAGTGAGACCCTCTTTCTCCCTCCTCAGCTCCATGATGTGTTTGTCCCTCTGCTCAAGCTGCTGTTTTGTGAGCTTTAGCATTGTTTCACTGTTCTTGCTCAGAGAAACAGCCTTCAGGTTCTCCTGAGACGCCTGAAAAAGCTGTTCTCGGAGCTCATGAACTTTCTGTCTCTCCTCCTTAAGTTGAGCCCACATCTTCTCTTCCTGCTCCTTCTGCAGGCGCTGGATAAGCTCCACCTGCTCGTCTCTTAATTTGAGGCTGCTGTTGAGGCGTTGGATCTCAGCCTCCAGCCTTTCAATCGTCTGGACATTATTCTGGAGTTCCTCCTTGAATCCATTTTCTCTGACGTCAATGAGTCTTAAACAATAAAAGACGAAAAGAGGAAAATATTCTATTCTAGGCTGCAGTCTGCTGGGGGGGAAGCATTAAACACAAAGATGCAAGACGTCTTAAACAAACTGGTGAAAAAGGCTGGCTCTGTGGTTGGACTCAAGCTGGACTCAGTGGAGGATGTGGTGGAGAGATCTACACTGAGGAAGGGAGAGACTATTCTCAAGAACATGGATCGCCCACTTCACAACACCTTGATGGACCAAAGGGCAAATGGTGGTGGACAGCTCCTCTCTTCACTGCAGGACAGAGAGAGTCACAAGATCTTTTGTACCAACAGCCATCAGGCTTTATAACTTGTATGTAAATAATAGATAATTTTTATAGACATATTATATGAGACAACAGACAATTGAATTTCCCTTCGGGAATCAATTAAGTTCTTCTTCTTCTTCATATGATAAATAGAATAATAGAGTCAAATTAGCCCCGTGTCTGTTGCCAAATCCACCTGAAACATGTTTCTGGCTAAGATAATTATAGATATTAGATTGTCATGTGCATGGATTAGTTGGTGTTATTTACTGTTCATATTTCATTAAAAAAAACTGCTATGTGATAGCGGCATTATGGAAGAGCTATCGGCAAGTATCAGCATTTGTATTGGCTGTTGAAAAACCAAAAACTAGTTTACAGCCTGGTACAAAAAAGAAAAAATTACTGGTTCAATCTTCTGTCATTGTTTTTTTTTTTTTTTTTTTTTTCTTAATCTCAGTGCTTTTATTTTGGAGATTTATGAGCTAACTCATCTGCAGCTGTGAGTGGAGAGGCTAAAACCCTGCCATAACATCTCTATGCATCCTGAGACTAAGAAGTTCGACTGAGTCAGCATTTTCTATTTGGAGTCTCAAAACCCCTTTGCAGAAACAAACAGGTGATGTCACTATAATCATGCTTTAAATGTATAAAATGAACTAATGCACGACAGGAGCTTAATGTCCTCTAAGGCTACTGCTGCTTCACTAAGAATGAGTATAAGAATAAGAAGAACTTTATTAATCCCCGAAGGGAAATTAAATTGTCTGTTGTCTCAAATAATGTGTCTCTGTGAAGTGTGTGATCCATGTTCTTGAGAATAGTCTCCACCTTCCTCAGTGTAGATCTCTCCACCACATCCTCCACTGAGTCCAGCTTGAGTCCAACCACAAAACCAGCCTTTTTCTGGCTGAAGAGGGGGTTTGGATCTACAAAAGTCTTTGACCATCTCCTTTGTCTTTGAGGAATTGAGGAGGAGGCAGTTTTTGTGACTCCAGTCACTGAAGGCTCTTATTAGATCTCTGTATTCAGCTTCTTGTCCATTTGCGATATATGCCCCAATAGCGGTGTCATCTGAGTATTTCTGGATGTGGCAGGACTCAGTACTATATTTGAAGTCTGACGTGTACAGTGTGAACAGGAATGGCGCCAGCACTGTCCCTTGTGGAGCCCCTGTACTGCTCATTAATGTCCCAGAAACACAGTTCCCCAGCCTGACAAACTGTTGCCTTCCTGTCAGGTTATCTGTGATCCAGGAAACACAGGAAGGATCCACTTCCATCTCTGTGAGCTTGTCTTTTGAGTATGGTGGGTTGGATGGTGTTGAATGCACTTGAAAAGTCGAAGAACACGATCCTCACATAAACCCCAGGTTCCTCCTGATGAGACAGGGCATGGTGAAGCATGTAGAGGACAGCATTGTCCACTCCAATGTGTTCTTTGTATGCAAACTGCTGGGAGTCCAGTTTGTCTTTGACATCAGACCTCAGAAGGCGTCAGCCGCTCCAGAGTTTTCATGATGTGTGAAGTGAGGGCCAGTGGTCTGTAGTTATTGAGTTCAGCAGGACATTTTGTTTTTGGTACTGGCACAATGCAGGATGCTTTTTTACAGATTAGGTACCCGCCCCAGCTGTAGACTCAGGTTGAAGATCTTGTGGAGAGGTTGACACAGTTCTGCAGCACAGTCTCTAAACAGCCTTGGACACACACCATCTGGACCAGCTGCCTTCCCAGGACAAAGTCTTCCAAGCTCCATCCTCACCCCTGTTTCAGTGACAGACAAGGACTGATGTTCTAGGAGGGAGGCAGTTGAAGTGGTTGAGACATTTGAACGTGATGGAGGAGGAAGGGGAGAAGTTGTAGTGGAGATTTGTTGCGGAGAGGAAGGTGGAGTAGCAGTGGAAGTGGGAGTGATAGCAGTGTGAAATCTGTAGAAGAACAGGTTGAGTTCATCAGCTATTTCCACATCATCCACCACTGTCTGTCTTTTCCTTTTATTGCTGTGTCCAGAGATGGTGCTGATTCCTCTCCACACTTCACCAGATGTTGCTGTGTTGTAAATTCTTCTCTATCTTCTTTTTGTACTCCAGCTTTGCTATCTTCAGTCTCCTCTTCAACTCTTGTTGCACTTGTTTGAGTCGTTCTTTGTCACCATCTTTAAAAGCTTTCTTTTTCTGGTTAAGGATTGCTTTTATGTCTCTCGTGTCCAGGATTTGTTGTTGGGGAAACAGCGAACAGTCTTTTTGGGTATAACTGTGTCTCTACAGAAGTTGACATAATCAGTAAAGCAGTCAACGTGTTTCTCAATGTTCATACTATCCACATTTGTTTTCCAGCAGCACATTCCAGTCTGTTGTTTAAAACAGTCCCTTAGAGCTTCACTGGCTTGAGGTGTCCATCTTCTGATTTTGACTTTGGTCACAGGCTGCCTCAGCACACAAGGTCTGTAACAGGTTTGTAAATAGACCAAGTTATGATATGACTTGCCCAGTGGTGGTAAGGCAGTGGCTCTGTAGGCTTCTTTGACGTTGGCATACAGCAGATCCAGGGTTTTGTTTTCTCTGGTAAATATATAAATAAAATATATGGTAAATATATGGTATATATATTTAACACAAAAAAAAAAAACAGTGTCACTACTGTTTCATGTGATTGTTTTAATCTCTAATGAGTGAATAGATGAATAAACACTCCTTTGATTACAGAAATAAAGGACTCACAGTTTTCCTGTGAACCATCACTGCTGTATTCAAAGTGTGACCTGTCCATGTGAGCCCATCAGGCGGCTGGTTTGTATCATATGGAGTCTTTCCCTCGTCATCCTCCTGCAGGGTACTGCTCAAGATCTCTGCTTCGTTTTCATGATGAGGATTGCATGATGAACCTGAGATTGTTGCTGTGACGACGCTGAGGAGACATATGGCTCTTTCAGAAAATCCTCAGGGTGTCAGGAGAGGTGGAAGCTCTCGCTGAGTGGGCAGGCCGGTGCAAGGTTGGAAAACAGAGTGAGGGAGATGTTTGAGTCTTTTTATGTAGTGGATGCATGTTTGAAATGTCTCTGTGTGCATAACAACAAACACAGAGCTTCAATCAATCAGTATTGGCAAACAGCAGCCTGGAATTAATGATTGAGGATGCTGAAATCACAAAAAACACACAATAGAAGAGAAAAACAGCAGAAAATGAAATGTCTGTGTCCAAAAACACAGTCAGGGTGAACTGAGTGGGAGGGAAAGTTGCCTACACTTGATTTGCCAAAGATTTTTGAAATGACTGAGGAGCTGCTGTTTTCAGTATTGGGAGACAAAACAGTGACTTTGCTTTACATCAAAATAGCACTTTCACTGTACACCCCATGCTATAATTATATTACCTTTTTCCTCAACAAGACTTTTGTCTTTTTGAACGTCTTGCAGAAACCTGGAATAGTGCTGTTGTTGTCAAAGTCCACAGAGGGCAAAAACAATGCCTGTGTTTGTTAGCAGGAACACGTGCCGCCCTCAGACTTAGAGAGCAGCTGGCAGCACCATCAAACATTCATGAGAGAGATGGATAGACTGTGAAGGACGGCATGGACCCAGGGATACAGAAAGACAGGCAGAGATGTGCAGCTCACAAAGGTTAATGGGACTTATCTGCATTACCTCTGAGCTGCTGTTGTTTTTTTACGGAACATTGTTTGTGTGTGCGAGGTGGGCCGAGGTGAGCTCAAATCGAGTTTCTGTCACCAGTGATGCCTCTGTTCTGTCCACTCTGCAGCAGCTGTTCACTCCAATATAACTGAGAGATCCTGGCAGGCTGCACCGCCCTGCACAGCAGCTGGCAGCATGATTTTATCCTCTCATCAGGCTATTCAGACCTGCAGGAGCGGAGTATGGGAAAAATCACACCCCATAATATGAGTCAGAAAACATGAGCATGCACATGTAAATGAGTTTCCCTGGGGTGAAGACACAAGTGCAGGAAAACGCATACAACAATGGATGCATTGGAGTCTACCTGCCGCTCCCACCATAAACACACATGATTGGATCTAAACTGAGGATGAACAGGTGAACACAGGGAGCTTGAGGAATCCCAGCAGGTTGACAGAGAGATGACCTGAAATGACTCCAGTAGGGATGAAAAATTCCTCAGGAGGTGGGATCAAGACTAGAACAGAGAGTAAAACCTGCTCTCTCCGTGAAATTGTCTCATGGAGTGCCACAGACTCAGAAAGTATTTTGAAAGTGTCATCAGGGTTAGTATAACAAGCAGAGATGAACCTGCTCAGCAAAGAAACCTGGAGTGGCTTATTTCTGTGAAGACACAGCATGAACATATCGGGATGGTTTGGAGGCTATTTTAGTTGTTTACATTGCAGTGTGGCAATGATTTTAACTTCTATGGAAAAGGTGCAGAAATGGTTTATCTGGTAGGGAAGTTCATTTTCACAAAGTTCATTTTCTCACCATTTCTTAAAGGAGTATTTGTCCTAAAACCAACCAACAACTTAACTAACATGTTCTCTAATCTGATCGCAAGTCTGAACTTTGCTACTTTGACTCATGGCAGGTTGAGTGAAAGTAAGGTAGAATCAGCATTTCCAGCATGGCAAAATGAATGGGTAACGTCAGTGAGGCCGCCACCTTGTTTTAAACAGACTATATTTGCAGCTCAACTAGTTTGATTGGACTTTACACACAGCAATCCTGCAACAGCGCCAGAACAAAGTGCTACCATCACTGTGCCTTCATGCTTACACATTGCACCCTGAACTGCAGTAATATGAACTTCTCAGTGTAGCTTTAAGTTGTTGCAGAAGCTCTAAAGGCATGACTTTAACATTCATATACACACGTGCATACACACAGAGCTCTGACTTACAATTAATGAGTATTAGATCTAATGATCTAATAATACTGGCAAGTTTAGCCCCATAAATGTCTCATGAGACTCAAAGAAAATGACCATGGAGAGTTTTTACTTGCTTGTTCACAGTAATACTTTGAGATCACAGGTTACTCAGGCTCAAGGTTTAGGGTTAAGGCTTAAGGGATTTGACAATTGGCTGTTACCTGACAACAGTATTACTGAAGTCCAGACCTACTTATTGTCCTGCTAACAGAGATAAACTGCGGTGACTTTGAGAAAGCTGCACGCAGAATGAAAGTAAAATTACTGTTTCAACAACTCATCTTCACTATTGTTACTTTTCAACACCAATTATTACCAATAACAGGCAATGCATCTGCACCAGCATTAACCAGTTAAGCCATCTCTAGATTTTTTAATTTTATTTTACTGGAAAAAGCTGAAAAAACAACATCTTGGCTTAAGTGATGAAGAACCAGCATTGTTCTGGACAGGTATAACAAGCATACAATCAACTATGCGAACAAACATACACATAAAATTAATGATTAGAAATAATGTAGAATGAACAAGTAAAATGAAGTAAAATGAACAAATAAATACATTTATTTTAATGTAGAGATATTAGCAATGTCTCTACTATTCAAATGAATGAATAAATGAATAAAAAAGACAAACTATAAATTAGTATTTTGGAGACAACAAACAGCCTGAACTTGGAGGACACCGTCATCAACAGTTAACATTATTTTTATTTTATCACTTCCTAGTATGAACCTTGAGCCAAGTTATATCTTCTTTTTTCTTTGGTGAAAGCATGTGTTTAATAATAATAATAGTAATAATAATGATAATAATAATATCTTATAAATCAATCAATCAATAAATAAACAGCTTTCTTCAGACTAATGATGATTAAATTACAAGGACACAATCTGTCCTTGGTCCTCTTTTAGTCCAAACTGACGACTCAGATTTAAAGCTGAGGACTTTTATTCTAAGAGTCGGGGCCATCCTGCTCTCTTGAGGAATCTACAGCCTGGTTCACTGCGTCAGTGTCCCAGCATGAGGTCTGCAGTTTGACCCTCTTTGTTTCGATCCGTTGATTTTACAGGGAAAAAAAATCTCAGTTTCAGGGAGGGATTAATTATACTTCATTGATTTTTGCCTGAGCTGCACTTTACTTTCTGCAAAGTTCAGTCTTACTATTACAAATCTTCTGACACCTCTTCCCTTGAACAGTTTTTGATCAACTTGTAAATATTCTGAATAGTTCTTTTTTCACCGCAGGATCTCAGTATTTTACTATATTTCTCTCTCACCTGCAGACTTTTCTCTTCAAAAAATGTGTTTCTTCCTTTCCCTACATCCTGCCAATGACAGGAGGGGAAAGAGCCACTGGTTCACCATAAACCTGAGCTATTTTGGCCGAGGTGAGCTGGCCAGACTTTAATCAAAAGTACCTCCAAATAAAACTTGTGCTGTTGGATCCACAGGCCCAGAGAGAGAGGATTTAGGTCAGCCTGTGTGTGTGTGTGTGTGTGGGTGTGTGTATGTGTGTGTCTACAGTAGGGAGAACATCTTAGAAAGTTAGAGCGATTAGCCGCGTTAGCGTCGGTGCTAATACTGGCCCATATCTGCCATTGATCCTCATCAGCCATGTGTTCCCAGAAAGGGAAGCTCTGAGGCCATTACGTACGCTGACCGGGCTAAAGCTGTGTGTATTTACAGTAATGCATGGCTATTTACAGCCTGGACGCTGCTTTATCTGGACAGCCTTGTAAGGCAGAGTACAGTTATAGGCCTAACACTAAAACCGGTCCTTGTTTTGTCGAGCATACAGCAGCATATGTACAGTACTTCCTGCAGCAGGTAACTGTGCTGCTGGCGCTGTGGCTAGGGCATCTCTAATGGGGGTGTTTGGGGCTGATGATGATGACAAATGCTCTTACAAATCAGCTGTGACTGAGAACAGGGTGTGCATGGCCTGTGTTATTACAAAAATAAAGTGTGTGTGCGTGTTTGTGCTTTTACATATTAGTGCAGATGGTCAAGAAAGACCCGGTTTAGCCCTCTCCATTCTTGCGGCCTGTGAAGCACAGAGCGCCTATCTCTCTCTCCATCTGCTCACACTTAGTGGAGTCTGCAGCCCGCTGCAATAGTGGGGCAGTTATTAGCGGGCTGGGTCTGAGAGACGACAGTAATTAAGAGATGAGATGGACTTGTGAAGTCCTCCAGGAGAAACCAGTCTGCTGCAGCAACCCCCCCACCCCCCACCCCCCAGCATGAGGGGCCACCCTGCCTCCAGCAGCCGTTCTGTTTATACAGCAGGTCAGAGAAAACAGGGCAAAACAGACAGACTGTACAGGCCTCTATTACGCCACAGTAACCTGAAGAGTCCAGCACAGGTCACAGGGTTTGTCTCTGGACAGGTGTCCTCCCCACTTCAGA